CACCTATACATAACAACAAATACACTCGGCGACAGTTCAGGCCATAAAGGCTAGGACGACATTGCGAGCATCCATCGATACATACAGAGTTCCGGCGCGGCAAGCAAGGAAGGCTTCAAGTAGCGTATGGCAGCACGCTAAGCAGCAGTCAATGCAGCAGCAGAGCGTACCTTCCGTCCAGTACACATCCTCTCCCAAGCAGGTAAGTGCGTTAGTGCGCGGTCGTGTGGTCGCAGAGTCACGGGTCGTGTGGGGTCGGCAGATGCAAGATGGGTCCCACGTGCGGTCATTCGATGCGTGGCACGGCGTCACAGGGTGTCGTAGTCAGCATGGGTGGATCACGTGGCGTGGATGTGTGGTTGACGGAGACGGTCACGACACGCACCGGGGCTGGTCGTGGCTGAGTCGCAGGGTCACGAGGTCGTAGTGTCCGCAGGCCACGGTCACAACGGGGCTGATCTGCGTTGCAGGGGTCATGGGTCACAGAGTCACGGGCCGCACGGGTCGATGCTAGGTCGCAGCAACGGGGTTCACAAGGGGTCGTGCTGGGTTGCAGATGTCAGGGCCGGACGGGTCTGCTCTGGTTGGCCAGAGAGTTACGGGTGTCTTGTTGGTCGCCAGGGTCACCGCGGGATCGTGTGGATTGCAGGGTCAGACGGGGTTGTGTGGTTGCAGCGGGTTCACGGGGTCGTGGTGGTTGGCAGGTCACAGGGCACGGTTCTGTGGGTCTGCAGCGGTCACGCACCGGGGCTCGCTGTAGGTTCGCGGCTCACCGGGGTCGTGTCGGGCTCGACAGGGGTCACGAGCGGGCGACGCTAGCTGTCGGTATGCAGAGTCACAGGAACGTCAACCAGCTTGACGGTCGCTGTGGTCACGGCACACACAGTCCATACAGCGCGTGCTCAAAACGGGTTCAGGGGTCGTGTCGCGTTGCAGCAGCTCGGACTGTGGGGGTCGTCGTAGGTCGGCAGTGGTCACGGTGTTCGTGGTCGTGTCGCCAGATTCTGTCAGGGTCGTGTGGTTGCACGGGGTTTACGGGTGGGGGTGTCTGTGGGTTGCAGATTCACGGCCGGGTGCGTGCTGGGCTGTGCAGCCGAGTCGACTCGCGGGGTGTGTGGTCACAGGGTCATGGCGGTTCACCGGCCGTCGATGTTGGGTGCCAGCGGTCGTGTGGTCGCACGGTCACGTCTGGTGTTCGTCGGGTCGTGTGTCGCAGGGCGGGTCAACATCGGGGATCGTGTGGGTCGCTAGTTGTCACTGGGGCGGTCGTGTGCTTGTCACGGTAAAGCGTGGTGGTCGTGTGGGTTGCAGGGTCTACGGCCGGTTGTTGTGGTTTGCCCATGGGTCACAGGGTCGTGGTGGTTGCAGGGTCACGGGGTCGCGGGGTTGTGTGGTTGCAGGGTCACGGCGTGCTCGGTGCGTCCTGTCGTGCGTTGCGTGCGCGTGGCGGTTTGGCTCCGGGGGTTCCGGCGGGTTGATGTTCGGGGCTGGGGTATGCAGGCCTGTCACGGGGGTCCGTTGTTTGGAATTGGGCAGCTGTGACGGGGTCCCTCGCTGGTGGTTTTGCAGGGTCACGGGTGTGCTGTGACTCGAGCGGTCACGGGTCGTGTGGTCGCATTGGTCACGGTCGTGCTGGTTGCAAGTCACGGGGTCGTGTGCGTCACGGGGTCTGTCGCGTCGCAGGGTCACGGGGTCGGGTGGGCGTCGCAGGCGTCACTGGTCGTGTGGCTCACCGGGTCGTGTGGTCACGGGGTCGTGTGGTTGCAATGGTCACGGGGCTCTGGGGTCACGGGGTCGTGATGGTCACGAGGTTCGTTGTGGTCACTGGGGGTTCGGTGTGGTCGCAGCGGTTCGTGGTGGTCGCAGGGCCGTGGTGGTGCACGTGGTCCGTGTGGTGGTCGCAGGAGTCAAGTTGGTGCGTGTTTTGTCGCAGGCGATCGTGTGGTGGTCGGGCAGGGTCGTGTGGGTTGCAGGGTCACTGGGGGCTCGTCGTTGGTCATGGGGTCGATAGTGTGGTCTGGCACCGAGTTCGACTGGGGGTGGGTTCGCAGGGTCGTGTGGTGCATCGGGGCTCGCTGTAGTGGTCGCGGAGAGTCACGGGGTCGTGTCGGGTCGCGCAGGTGTGTGTGGTGCTGCGTGTCTGTCCACGCCACGAAAGTCTGGTCACGAGTCACGGGCTCGTGTTGGCGTCGCCAGAGTCACGGGGTCGTGTCGGTCGCAGGGTCGTGTGGTTTGCAGGGGGGTCACGCGGTGTGTGTACGGCGGTCGTGTGGTCGGCGAGTCACGGGGTCGTGTGGTCGCAGGGTGTGTGTCGCAGGCGTCGTGCTGGTTGCAGGGTCACGGGGTCGATGTGGTCACGGGGTCGTGTGGCTCACGTTCGTGTTGGTCACTGGGGCTTCGTGTGGTCACGGGGCTCGTGTGGTTCGCAGAGTCACGGGGTCGTGTGCGTCGCAGGGTCGTGGTGGTCGCAGGGTCGTGTGGTTGCAGGGCGTCACGGGGTCGTTGGTCACCAGGCTGTCGTGTGAATCGCAGGGTGTGTTGAGCGTCGCAGGTCGTGTGCGTTGCAGGGTCAGCGGGGTCGTGTGGTCACGGCGGTCGTGTGGTCACGGGGTCGTGGGGTCACGGGTCGTGTGGTCGCAGAGTCACGGGTCGTGTGGTCGCAGGGTCGTTGTGGTCGCAGGGTCGTGTGGTTGCAGGGTTCACAGCGGTCGTTGTGTCACGGGGTCGTGTGGTCACTGGGTCCGCTGCGACGACCTGCTGCTGCTGCTGTTGACGATGATGAGAGTGTGTGCGGCGCGAGACCCGCCGCGAGTGATAGTTTCATCGATTCTTTGTGCATTCGTCCCCCTCTCGAGGAACGTTTTAGAGTCCTCGACATGCCTTCGGACATTGATAATGCCCGTGTATGCCATCTCGCACACGTTTATCTTTTGTTATGATTAATACTGCTATCAGTTTCGTTGTATGTACCGACGATTGCGATTTCGTGATTTCTAATACGAATTTCTCCTGATTTTCTGGCCAATGCTTATGTGGCGTGGTGAATCCCTTTTCTTCATGCGGATCTTTATAGTTTTCTGTTAGTACAGCACAGTATGTATGTTAAAGTTCTTTTCGTTTTCATTGCATTTGGAAAAGAGTTCGGAAGTATCTCAGGGTCGGGCGATGATGACTGCAGTGCTCATGCCAGCTACACCGACGATCGAAGCGTCAAACATCCGAACACCTAGTCCTTCAGGTTTGTAATCTCAATCACTAATGGTGTGATATTCTTCTCTCGGGTCTATATGAGTAGCGAAGCACATTTTAATTACATGTGTCTGACGCAATTATATTAATTACAGTTTTGCAGCTCTGCATAATTATAGCGGAAGTTTACCCATGGCTATGAGTTACTATTGTTGATGATATTATCACCAGGAATTAGTTTTTCATGAAGTAAAGGTCTTTTCCACCCTTTTCGTGAATGATATAGGGGTTCTGGGATTTGTAAAGGCTACATTGTTAATCCAAACATATTGGTGTTTAGAGTGAGTCTGTCATGAACTCAACATGATGTCATACCTATTTAGAATGTATGGGGTGGGACAATTCAAGAAAAGTATTCATAGTATTGGCCAGTTTGTTCGTACCGATCACACTTGTATATGGTGGTGTTAGGTGGTTAGTAGGGGTGGTATGATTCCTCTATATATCAAATGTATCGTGATACAAACTTCGACGATACACTTATCGCTACGTGTGACTATTCGCGATACGCGTATCGATACTCTACTGAATAGAATCCGTGTCATTTGGTATAGCATGGTATCATCAGAAAACTAAAGAAGCGTGATGCAATTCGCAGTTCAATAGCAGCTGTTAACTGAGCGCTTCACGATACTATGGTTAATGTAGCATTCACATGATAGGTAGGGTCCCGGATAAGCCTAGAGTTTGCTAGATAGTTTCCCTTGAAAGTATCGCGATAAGTATCGTATCGTGAAGTCTATATCGTGATGCGTATTGTATCACGATCGATATATCGTGATACGGATCGTATCATGAGCTACCCATATCATCCCACCTCTTGTGGCTAACCACACACGCCTAAAAAAAGGCATTGATGCTGTTATCCGTTTATCTCTAATATTCACTTCTTCTAAAAATAAATAATTTTCTTCTAATATTCACTAATAGGCAAAAAAAGGCCCTTAAAAAAGGCCTTAAAAAAAGGTCTTAAAAGTTAGGCCTGTTAAGGCCTTTAAAAAAAGCCTTAAAAAAGGGGCCTTAGTGTATATGCGTACGTTCAGTGTATAATTTACATTGCTGCACATTTGCATGTTGCTGTATTTGACGTTGTTCTGCTGCAGTGGTCACTATGCAGGCGTCTCAAGGTCACGCGAAGATCACTGCCACGCTGCTCCAGGCGTCCTCACCGACGTCTACGCTCACTCCTACAGCGAGTCTACCCGTTCAATCTCAGAAGTATATCGATAAGGTGCGGTCTGAGGCTACTGCCTAAATGCCTTTTCTCGAAGCGAACGATTAATGATTTGGATCGAGTCGTCCAAGTTTGAGCTTTAAGCCCGGCGCACACGTGAGTAATTTTACTCAAGTAAAATGACGCATGAGTCATTTTACTCACGTGTGCGGCAGATTTTCGTTGAGTAATTTGACGCATGCGTCATTTTACTCAATATCAAACGTGTTTGGTAATTTTTGACTCATGCGCCATTTTACTCAACGTGTGCGCGCGCTGAGTAAATTTACTCAACACTGGTACTCACAGCGCATGCATTTAAATCATTGTGCGCCCAGTATTGGCTGCGCACAGTCACGTGATCTGCATTACCACTTATTCCTTGAGTAATTTTACTCCCGTGTGCGGCGAATGCTGAAAATACTACGTGTGAGTATTTTGACTCATGCGTCATTTTACTTGAGTAAAATTACTCACGTGTGCGCCGGGCTTTAGCGAATTTACCTGTTTAATCTCAGAAGTACATTGATAAGTTGTGGTCTGCAGCTACTGCCTGAACGGCTTTTCTCGAAGTGAACGATTTGGATCAAATCGTCCGAAGTTTGAGCTTTAGCTGACTTTGCTGACTCATTTTATTATATTGCCATCGAGCTAACAGGTCTTAGTTGTTTGTTGAATGAGTTTAGCAAGTTAGATTTAAGTTGTTTTGCCGTAGCGTGAGGTTTATAGAGTGGCTGCGCGTGATTGCGCGTTGGTTGGGGTCGTTGCAGCTGAGCGTGGCGATGCGAGGAGTCGTGGAGGAGATGTATGCTGACATGCAGCAGCAGCAGTCCGTGTCCAGACCGCCCGACTTCATCCAGGAAGCCAACTCCAAACATCAGCAAGAGCTAACCGAGATCAGGCATAACATCGGTGAGTCATTCGTTCCGGCAGTACCCTGGGGGAACATAGACCCTATGAGCATGAATAAAAGCAAGTATTGTTATAAATGTCAGTTAATGTTTACAATTTGTAATGTACAAATACAATTGTATCGTTCAGTCCCACAAACGTGCAGATTGTAACCCTGGTGCAATAATGTTTTGAGCCCCTTTTTATGATCTGTTTGTAGAGCTTACACTAATAGAAATGAGGCAGAGTTTTGAAATTGAGAAGAAAAGAGCGCTCATGATGGCTCGTAAGCAGGTTGAGGAGCAGCAGAAAGCAAGACTGGTGAGTATATACGGAATCCAGTGTGAAACTAATTTTGTATAATTCTGCAAAAGTGCGGCAGTTCACCATTGATAATATTTTCGGGGTATCGATTATTTTGAAGGTTTGCGAAGAAGGATTTCATGACTAACATAGCAACCTGCTTGCTAAAGCAGAATATATGTATGGTTGTGGAGCCAAAAGTATTACGAAAAAAATACATCAAAATTATTATCATTAATCTAGATTTCTAGCATTGAACTGATTTCGCACGCCCATCTAAACACTTCAAGGAAGTTGATAATTACTATTGTGACCCTGAAAAATCATTTTAAATCATTTGATCGTACATACAACTAAATACACATATTGCAGAAAGCCAAGGAGATGATGTGGGAACGAGAGAAGACGGACATCTATAGAGAGATGCAAGCTGCCATCGCTGCGAGCAAGAAGAAACAGTGGGTACGTGCACGTGTGCCTGAAGCTATCCGAAATTCAGTCAATCAATTACTGACGAACGCAAATGCATTAAACGTTACAACGTGACAATTTGGTTATGGCATGCTGCGTGCTTTCGTCCTGCAAGCTGACAATTTCAATATTTCTGTGAAGAATACAATGATGGAGGCATACATTTTATCTGGAGGGCAGCAACAAATTTTCAAAATTCCGTACGAAATCAGACATATATATAGACAAATAAAAAAATATTCAAAATGACAAAATTTAGTTTAAAGACAAATATATGACAAAAATAGACAAATAAATGACAAAAATAAACAAATATAAAGACAAATATGCTGTTAGTTGCTGACTCGATAACACACACTTGGCGTATTTGCTAATCACGTGATTTCCTTGCACCGTGGTCCCGTTCTAGTGTGCAAACTGCTGCAAAGAAGCCATCTTCTACTGCTGCTGGAACACGTCATACTGCGACTATCCCTGCCAGCAGGCGCACTGGCCTGCGCACATGAGCTCGTGCACTCAGATGGGGCAGCAGCAGCAGCAGCATCAGCAGGCGGTGGCTGCGGCGTCGGACACATCGTCCGGAGCCGAGTGCAAGGTCACGAGTTTGAATGGGAGTAGCGTCCAGGTAAGTTAGATGTTGTAGTAGAAACTAATTGAGGTTACCTGTCCATAACAATTACATTCTTCGTTAGTAGTGGTTATAGTGCACGGTAACAGGTAGGTTAGATGTTGTAGTAGAAACTAATTGAGGTTACCTGTCCATAACAATTACATTCTTCGTTAGTAGTGGTTATAGTGCACGGTAACAGGTAGGTTAGATGTTGCTGTAAAAACTAATTGAGGTTACCTGTCCATAACAATTACATTCTTCGTTAGTAGTGGTTATAGTGCACGGTAACAGGTAAGTTAGATGTTGTGGTAAAAACTAATTTAGGTTACTTGTCCATAACAATTGTGTTCTGTGTTAGTAGTGGTTATAGTGCACATAAAGTGTGTGTAATGTATGTGGTACGTCTGCATTGATTGTTCCTAAATCTGCCACTTCTACTCCTGATGCCTTACACTACCTATTACACATTGATTTATATATCTATTATGTGTCCTTGTGTGTTGTCAAAATTTATATAACATTGGGAGGCTGCACTATGTTAGATGTTAGTGAAATAACATTACCGTAGACCGATTACGTAACCACAACGTCATAAAGTTAAAATAAAATAAAAACCTGAAATCAATGGAAAAAATTTAAAAGTAATATCTTCGTATTGCGGTTTCAATCAAAGTTACGTTTAGGCCTCAGTTTCCCACAGATATTGCCTTTCTCTACAGGGTGTTCAGGGTGAGGGTGTGGATACAAACAAGTCTCTGGAGAACCTGCAAGCAACTGTAGAAAAGCTGAAACCACATGAGCAGCAACCCCACCCTGTTCACATTGTAGCCAACACGAGCCAAACCACACCTCACCATGTGTCCAGTCCCTCTCAAGTCATGTACGGATCTGGCCCCACCCTACACTATGTTATGCCTCAGCCGCCAATCTCTCAGGTTTGTATAGTTAGCTGCTGTATTTTTTTGGTACGGAGACTCCCCGACTTACGAACAGGTTCGGTTCCGAGCGGTCGTTCGTAAGTCGATTTGTTCGTAAGTCGAACATATGAACGTACGTATACAGTATTGTACAGTAGTGTAGTATATGTACGTGTGAACATCGAGTAACCTAGAAGTGTACATAGTATAAACATATACGTGAACACAGGAGTTGGCGATAGTCAAAACCAGGGTTTTTTTTTATTCACCAATATTGACATTATACACTAATGGACTTCAGGGCAAATTGTTCGTATCATCGAAAGTTCGTAACTCGAATGTTCGTAAGTCGGGGAGTCTCTGTATTAGTTTGAATCTTTTTGGGAGGAACTGTGAACACTAACCGTATACCCGTAAGTTATGCTTGGTGTCTGACCTATACATGCTGCGAATTGGGCAAGTTGCGCAATCTTTGTAAGTTGCTCATTCTGGGGTAGCTCCAAGAAACGGTATTGCTAGGGTTAGAATACCTAATAGATAGGGTGTATTGACGTTAGTCACACAGCCTGGTCGGGTTAATTCTGGGGGATCTTACGGGAATTGTGGGATCAAATGTTTGGCTTTTTCGTTACCAGAGGGAGTGTGTGTTGGGACGGATCGTGATCGTAGTCACAGAGTTCGAACGATTCTGTATGTTCGTTTGAGTTCAATCATCTGTGACCTTGAGATGGAGATTTGGGAGGATACAATTTGGCAATGTGTAAAACCGTGATCAAGATTGAGTTATCGTGGTATAAGGGATGCGTACAAAAAACACGTCCATAGTGTGCCAAGACTATCCAATGCCTGAGATTATGGGCGCGGTAAAATAGCAAATAATTATTATACACGTAGTTTAAGTTTATGTAAACTTATGCAGTACCCATTTCCGCTTTTTCTAGTCCGTGTTTGGTTTTGATTTATAGTCAGGGCTCTTGTTCAGATAACAAGTGCTTGTATAGTAGCTTGTATTGTTTGCTCATGCAGTTTCAACCCCGCACATAAAATAAACATTATCTTAAGTCTGAATGTAAAGTGCCGGTAAGGTTTACTCAGCGTGATACTTATAAAGAGCCGAAAGCAAATATATTTACAATTATCTTTAGTTTTATCTACTGTGCAGGTAATTGACAGATCTGAAAAGGCGATGTAATGATTTATAATCCCGTTGTAGGCACAAACACTCATGAAAGGAGATTTATATTATATTTATATTTTGATATAATGTTGCATTGATAATTTAAATTATATGATGGCGGTTTTTAGTGGAAAAGAACCATTCATTTAGATTACTTCACAACCCAGCAATGCAATCCTGTAAAATCATACAGTTTTGAAATGAATCAAAATCCTATGTGGTATAAATGAGGTTACTGTACCACAGTGTACTGCATATTGTACGGACCATGTCACTCCCAGTTTATAAATGCAGATTCCTCAGCAAATCCAAAAGTCTCACTGATTATATACCATAGAGAAAGCAGACCATACAAGTAACAGTAACGATAGAAGAGATCAAAATCTAACGTAGCCCTAACAACAATTTCCCACGTCAGTAAATGTAAAAATGCTAATAGAAAAAAATCAAATGAATGAAAGTGTAGACATGTAAAGATAACAACCACGAAAGGGTTGGGGTTAGCCCAACCAGGCTCTACGACTGTTTCACGTCGCGTTCTGTGATTCCATGATCCCAACGTGCAAACGATCGCGATATGGTCTCCATCACAAAGCCAAAACGAAGGTATTCGCGTATCTAACTACATACCAGGTGTTACTCTCCCAAAAAATAGCCGATTGACTTCTTTTGTAGCCAATGTTAATAATTTGTAGAAATCTTTTGTTCAATTTCTACGTAACACCTTCTCAGCTCTGTGATGCTTGTAGGTGAGTCTGACTTGCTTGCTGTGAGTTGCCAATTACCCAATTTGATCACTTTCAGCCAAAAAATAGCCAGTCTAATGTTTTTATAGCCAGTACAAAAAAAGGTGTAGCGATTGGCTATTTTGGTGAGTGGTACAGTAACCTTTGACATAGACCCCTAGTCTCATTGACGGCCCTCTACTATTGCGATATGAGATCGTGAGGGTACTGACGTACGCATGAGATCGTGTACACACTATTGAATGAGATCGTGCGGGTAGGGATAGTCGAACATGATGAAGTCGACCTCGTAGTGCCTGTAGAGTCGCAGGGCCAGCTCGCGGGGGACGCTAGCGTAGAATTCTCTCAGCAGCTCGGAGCTCCTCCTCTTCGTGTACAAGGTCTCTCTCGCGGGCAGCGCGACGCGGTGGTGCAGGCCCACCATGCGCAGCCACTCACTCACGTCCTCGCCTAGTCTCTCGAACCTGTCATTAAAGAGTGGGTACAGCAACGGTTATGGTCGGTCGTCGTACTCAGAAATAATTATTTTAACCACGGTTAAAGTATGTGTAACAAGGCTTCTGGTTGGGTGAAAGGGCAATTATTTAACAGCCACTCGCTGACGTCCTCGTGTAGTCACTCGAACCTGTCATTAAAGAGCGGGTACAGCAACAATTGTGTTTGTTTGCGCGTTTGTCTTTTCCGAGCGCTGCTAGGGTTGCGCAACTTTGGTTTGGGGCGGTTAGTTACAGCAACGGTTACGGTTGGCCATCGTACTCAGAAATAATCATTTTTCCCGTGGTAGAAATGATTTAACCACGGTTAAATTGTGGCCCTTTTACCCAATCAGAGGTCGTGTTACACATAATTTAACCGCAGATAAATTATTTTTACCGTGGATCAATTATTTTAACCACGGTTAAAGTATGTGTAACAAGGCCTCTGATTGGGTGAAAGGGCAATCATTTAACAGCCACTCGCTGACGTCCTCCCCGGGTCTCTCGAACCCGTCGACAGAGCGCCAGTATCCAGTTAGCATATAGGGATCAGTAACTCCTACTAGGAGTGGTGTCATGGCGGCCGATGGCTACACCTAGTGGCCACTAAGAGCTATCCAGTTAGCATATATAGAGATTGGCGGCTGGTCAACACGCATGCACGCACGCACGCACAGGCACGCACCTGCCCAGGTACTGGTAGTTGATAGCGCAGGGGTCACACAGGTCGACGATGCGCGCCCAGTGTTCGTCCAGCGTGCGATGCGGCGTCTCCACCACGTACGTCACGAAGTGCGCGAACGTGACGTCATACAGCTCCTCCTTCTCGCCGGGCAGCCGCCGCAGCGGCGCCCCCGGGTGGTGATGCCGGAAGTGATACGCCATGCGTCGGTGCTCGCGGAGACGGAGGCTGCGGTCGCGCCCGCCGGCGGCCACCTTGGATCGGTACGCCGACAGCACGCGCTCGAACGGGTGCCGAGCGAACAGCAGCTTGCTGTAGTCGCGCAGCACCTCCCGCGCGCGCGCCGCCGCGTACCCGCGCGTCCGCCACCGTGCGAGGTAGCGGCCCGTGTCGGTGAGCTCGTGTGGCCAGCGGCCCGCGCGAGCCGCCATGTCGGCCCGCGCCGTCGGCGACGCCTCCTCGGCGATCATCAGCGCAATGAGGATGTTCTTCAAGGTCGAGCAGGCGACCTTGGGCACGGCGCAGTAGACGATGGCGTGGGCGTCGTCGACGAACAGCGACGTGTTGGGGTTGAACGTGTGGTCGCGGCCGCCGAACGTTCCGTTGTCGCGCCAGCGCCACGCGTCGCACGCCGCACGCACGCGCCGCAGACGCTCGCGGTTGGACGCGGCCGGACCGGTCATGGGGTCGTGCGGCGGGGTCGCTGGGTCGCGCGGCGGGGTCGCCGGGTTGCGCGGTGGAGTCGCTGGGTCGCGCAGTGGGGTCGCGGAGTCGTGTGCAGATGAGAGATTCCGGCTATCACCCTGCGCAACAGCCAGCGGCGGAGGCACGGCGGCGCCTGATCTCTCGATGCTTGCTTTGGTCGTCGCGAGCGTGGGTCGAGCTAGCGGCGGCTTCGTCGATGCGTGGATGCCGTGCTGCAAGCTCACAGCTCGATGAGGCTTCTCACGCGTCTGCGTTGCTGCGTGCAATAGAGAGAGAAGCGTCTATAATAGTTACTACTGATAATTACTAGTAATGTTATTGTTATTATATCTTTATTGGATGTAATTCATATACAAATACACGTACTGAAGATTTAACTAAATATTTATGCATATTTACTAAACATGTGCGTGTTTTCAAAAAAACAGCAAAGCGCAGATAGAATGTCAGAAGTCAAAAGTATTATTTGACAGTAAGAGAATATGTATATGATAAGAGCTTTGTGGTGAATATGTGTAGAGATTACGAGAATGTGATGTAATCGGGAGTAAATAATAATAGATAATAGATCTATTATTATTATTAATTATTACATTATTAAATTATTAAATTATAATAATTAAATTATATTATTATTATTCACTCCTGATGTAATCGGCTACACGCGGGGTGACTGATTGACAGAAGAAGGGGGAACAACAGAAACAAGAAAAAGGACAGACAAATGCATGTATTTATGCTCCAGACCCATGTTAGCAACTGTGAGAGGATTGGTGTTGCTAGACTAGCAGCTAGAGCATCGAACAACATTGGGTACTTACTGAATAAGTCGCGGCTATAATGAAATGGAAAAAAAAGCAAAGCCGATCCAACCAGCAACACCGCAACCAGCTGTTTCTCTCTTGTTCGAGTCATTTTTAACAGTCTACGATGCACACAAACGCAGGACACTCGTAATTCTCTACAGTTTTGTATGACTCTCCTTCTGATATGTAGAACTCTGAAAACCAACTCAAATGAGTGGCACTCGCTGTGAGACTCCTATTTATAGGATCGCGCACTCACACACCTGTCGCCTACTGTCATCAATCGGGGAACAAACATTTGCTGTTACTGTCAGCATTTTTACTCATGCGCTGCTGTACTAAGCTGCTGCATCTTCTGCGGGTGATAACAGAGCACGTATGTCATATATGATATACGTGTTCTGGTGATACTGCTGCATGAGTGCAGTGCAGTGGTGTGAGATAATGCGAGACATGTTCCGCACACACGAATGTTTACGCACGCTTCTGCTATCTATTCTTGCATTATAGGAGTTTTTTTAATAACAAAGTGAAGTAAAACCATGGATTTTTTAAAACGCAAGTATGCCACGGCATGTAGTTGTGTGTATGAAGTCTATAGCAACACAGTGACTGACTGTTTTTCTTATCTGCTGCAGTTTCCACCTGGATATCCCGGCCCACCAGTTCATCTAGGAACTGCGCCACACGTCCTACGCACAATGGCGCCACCTGTCGGCGGCCCCGGTATACTGTACCCGATGCTGAGACCGCAGCAGCCGGGGCCGCCACTGCCCCCAGGTCAAATCATCGTCACCAGTCAGCCAATGGCTCGCGGAATGCGACAGCAGATGTTCCAGCATACGAGATTCTAGGAAACTTTCGTCGCTACTCGTCTGTCAAGAGTCAATGTCGCTGGCCAATCTCTCGCTGAACATATATTGGGCAACGTGTAACACCTTGAAATACTGTTGGCTGTCACGATTTACTCGCGGGTCTTCCGGTTGCTGCTGGCAGAAGTTGTATGTTTCTAGCAATATATGGTGCTTTGAGTTCAGGTTCGTCATTGTAATAATGGTTTGTTTCGAATTGCAGAGACATTGTTATGCACGTTTCCCTGTTATGTATGCGGTTGTAGAGAAAACGCATGTGTTGTACAATTGTAGAATGTGGCATACACTTCCAAGTCACGCAGAACTGTAAACAAGGCTCACTGTGTTACATAACTATACTATGCTAACACGATTTCCAGGTAGTTAACAGAATTGAATTCGATTTCTAAATAATAAACAATTTCTTTACGGCTCCCGCTATATTATTTCGCGGACATCCTTTCCCTTTGCTGTAATTGTGAGTGATGCAGCCATCATTACTGATAAATAATGATACCACTGCAAATATAGCATAATATTAAAGACGTACAACTACTATATCTACACGTATATCTCTAATGGTTTATATGTAAAGCTATATCATTGCTGGTTCGTGTATAGAGGCGATAAGCAGCTTGATATTTATTTGGGGTTCAACCGATATAAGCTGCGCTGTATTCTGTTTTTCTTATTGATAAGGAGATAATTTGAAAGAAGCATGTATGAATGTGCATGAATGTGTGGGAGAGCAAAGAGTGCATGTGTTCATGAGGAATAAATATGTTTCACCGGAGGATAGAATTATGTGCATGTTGAAACTACTGTTCGTGGAAGCGTGTGCAGCATTTAAATTGCATAGAATGAGACGAGATTGAAAAAAAAGTTTCTATAGTTGACATGTGCTTGACTGGAGAATGCGCCAATCAATCAGTAATTACTTAACTAGTTTATGCTCATTAATGTCGTGGCGATTGCAACGTCAGCAATAGGTTTATTGTGTTTATGTAATCCACTAGGCTCACATAAATATATAATTGTATGCGAATGTGCAAATGTTTGCGTTATGTGTATGTATATACATACATACAAACCTATATGTAAATATACTTTTTTATTATCTGCTGTATTATCTGTGTTTTGTTGTATACATCAAATTACGTTTGACTTTTGAAATACAATATGATATAAATAACTCTACACCTTGTAAATATGAAGCGTAACTTGGACAGTTATGAATAGAGTAGGTAGAGTCAAGTAGAGTACATAGATTTGTGTAGTCTGCTATGTTGTCATTCCTCCATACTATAAACACTTGCCAGTTTGTAGTTTGCAGGCTTTGTTTACTTGAATACATCGTATCTGCGTTAGGTAAATCTTGGCATGGCCAATATTTAAACGTGTTGGGGTCGTTTGTAATCGGATGACGTAACATGCATGTGAACAGAATGATCACAGTGAAGCAGCTCGTGTTTTCGTATAACATGCTAAATGTGAAAAACTCACATAGAAATTCCACTTCAACCCAATGTTTCAATTGTGCGTGTGAGAGAGTATGTACGTACATTCCTGAATGCGTGTGTACGTGCGAGCGTGCGTGCGTACGTGCGAGCGTGCGTGTGTACGTGCGAGTGTGCGTGCGTGCGTGTGTGTGTGTGTGTGAACGTGTGTGCGTGCGAGCGTACGTGCGTGTGTGTGTACGTGTGTACGTGCGAGCGTGTGTACGAGCGAGCTTGCGTGCGTTTGTACGTGCGTGCGTGTGTACGAGCGAGCGTGCGTGCGTGCGTGTGTACGAGCGTGCGTGCGTGGGTGCGTGTGTACGACTGTACGTGCGTGTGTACGTGCGAGCGAGCGTATGTACGTGCGTGTGTACGTGCGAGCGTGCGTGCGTGCGTGTCTACATGCGAGCGTGCGTGCGTGTCTACGTGCGAGCGTGCGTGCGTGCGTGCGTGCGTGCGATACCAAGAAGAGATTATGCTAAATGCTTGGAAAGAGTCAATGCTGTTGTTAGTATTTTTATTTTTATTTTCATAAGGGAATTGTGAAAGGCATGGTTACATAATAATAGTCATAATCATAATAATTTTACCGTTTCCTATATATATATTCCCGTTTTATAAAGACATAAGTAATGTTACCAAGTTCATTATTTTAATTAAGATGCTTCCATTTCATTTCACCTGTAGTCAGACTTGAGTGACTATGTATGCTCTAAAAAAAAAGCATGGCACCATTAAAGTAATTTGCTACAAGAACATTTTTATTGTATTCGTGAATGAGATAGATGTTGAGTGATCAGTATTTTTCATTTCAATATCGGTCAACATATTATTTCTTCAGCATTATTTTCGCATCAGCGGTTATAACTATGCAACCATTACTAACTCTTGCCTGAATTGCTCTTAATACACACCACGACTCAACTAAATAACGCATGCTTAGGTGAAATTCAAAAACTATCAGGTAAATAACATTTATTATGGTTATAGAGATCTATGTATACGTAAAACTATTGATGTTGTATAAACACTAGTATTTTGAATTACCGGTGTTTTGTGCAGATGCGATCTTTATTTGATCTAAATTTGTAGATGGAAAAATAGCATATGTTTCGAACCTTGCAAGGAATTTATATGCAAAGCAATAATTAATGTTGACTGAACTAGAACTAGAAATGGCAGTTGTCGCCAACTACATGTATCCCCCGCGATTTAGTATGAATGAAATATCTCCGTAAGGACGTACAAGGTAGGCAAAGTGAAATAAGTCACAAAGATCAAGGTCAAATAAAGGTCGCAGTGACCTGGTTTTGGTACGCGGCACACCTTCTCCCCAAGATGGGTAAGTATACCAAGTTTGGTAGCGCTAGGTCAATTAAGGGCAGAGTTATAGAGCGGAAGGGAAATATGATCAAGCTCAAATAAAAGTTGCAGTGACCTGGGCTTGGTACGCGACACACCTCCCCAAAATGTGCAAGTATACCAAGTTTGGTCGCGCTATAGGTCAATTAGGGACTGAGTTATAGAGCGGAAGGGAAATATGATCAAGGTCAAATAAAGGTCGCAGTGACCTGGTTTTGGTACGCGACACCCCTCCCCAAGATGTGTAAGTATACGAAGTTTGGTCGCGCTAGGTCAATTAAGGGTAGAGTTATAGAGCGGAAGGGAAACATGACCAAGGTCAAATGAAGGTTGCAGTGACCTGGGTTTGGTACGCGACACACCTTCTCCCCAAGATGTGCAAGTATACCAAGTTTGGTCGCGCTAGGTCAATTAGGGACTGAGTTATAGAGCGGAAAGGAAATATGATCAAGGTCATAGAGCGGAAGGGAAAGTGTCTGTGGCGAGCGGCGGCTGGACAGACATGAAAGTTGAAACCATAGTATCCCCGCCGACTTCGTCGCGGGGAATACAATAATACTCAACACTGAAAATGGGTTACTGAAACGAGACCATTTATTTGCACGATAATATACATACACAATTATAGAACAACATCAAACTGACTAGCAGCGTAAAGTGATTGCATTTAACTAGCTGACAAATGCATAGAAGAAAGAGTAAATCACAGGGGTGTTGTAACAGCAACCACTGCACTGGTCTATTAATTAAATATCGACCTGCGAAAACGAAAAGTGCTTTTGAAGTTGCAGGCCATGTTTCATACACGAGCCAAATCAGTGCAATTAATGTTAGAAGAGAGGGATGAGTAGAATAATAACATACGCGGCTGAGTAAGAATAAAGGGGCGAGTTATAACTATTATGAAACAGTCAAAGGCAAAGCGTAATACCACATTTGATTACCGTATATGATCGCGTAATAACCGCGGGCACCTATAAGCCGCACCTCAATTTGAATCGGGTAACCAAGTATTGCGCCTAGTATATTTCCCCTCACGGTATGGCGCACTTATAAACCGCAGAGCAAATACAGGGTTGAAATCTGAGGCCAAATTTGCGGTTATTACGCGAGTATATACGGTAATCGTGAGAATACAGTGATTTAACAATCTGAATATTGCAACAGTTTTGAATAAATAACTACACTATTGTATGCCACGTTACATACGAATATGAGCTATAACCCTTGTTCGTATAGTTATATCATGATATTATTGCTCTTAATACAGTTAGCATAAATTCATTAAACTGCACGAAATTAGCACATGATAAAATCAATAAAGTAACATATCTGTTAGATCTTAGACTCCAGGTGATCTTAATTTGCTGTTGTCCTGTTTCATCAAACTTTTAAACAGATTCTGACAAGCAGATTTCTATAAATAATATTAAACATTCTCATGTAATGTACAAGCGATGCACAATTAACCATTCTTAACGGAAACAATATCAGACATTTTATAATGTTTTTTTTCTTCAATGATTAACAATATACATGTACAGATGCGCTGTATATTACTACGTACTACATTTACTTCTCACAATTCATAAACTTGAACAACAATTATAGTAACAATAAAAATATCTAACGATCAGATTAGACTTAATTGTGATTATTATCAAATGAGTTGGAAGAAACACGTCAATGCATCAATCCCCACATGTACTGCTTTCCGATACAGTCATTTACACCAAAGTGCATACGTAATTTTTACTGCACGTTACAAAGTGTCACTTGCTTTATATTTATTAAATACAACGTGCTCTTGTGCCTTTGAATTGTACACATACATACAAACAGGGGTTAATAATGACAAATTCTCATTATTACTCCCATGTTAGGTATGATGCACTCACTGTACATAGTTGGGCGATAACTTCAATAAATATATTTAACCCTGACTAATCTTACATGGATAGTTACACGGGTAAATCAACAATTGTGAAACAAGTTTCACGTAAATGATGCAATGCCACTTCCGGCATGTACTCCAGAATAGCCAAGGGCATAGCCAGGAATTTGGATTGGGGGGGGGGTCCTCGAGCGAGTAACAAGTTTTTTTTTAGTTTTCATTATTCACCCCTGTTACAAATAACAAGGCTCAGCTTGTCAACTCTGATTTGACGTTATAACGCCACAGCACTCGATCATCTGAGCGTGATCATTGCTTTCGACACGTGCCCTCTTCAAAGGATCCATGTAAGTTTAGCTTCTTTGTCTCGGTCATTCCGCATTGGAAATATCTCCCTACTTCTTTAGTTAGTTGCAAACTTGAGGCTTTTTCTACTGCGATCGGCAGTGCTGATCTGTCTGTTTGATCAACTCTGTCTCTCTCCGTCTTCGTTATAGTCCCTCGCTCGGACTTTGAATACTAAAGCCTAGCGCAGACTTGCGACTTCTTCATGCAACTTGGCTGCGATTCTAGAAGTCTGCGGGAACGTGCAACTGCAACTCGTAGCGATTCTGGTCGCTTGCAACGAGTTGCAAGAAATCAAACAGGTTTGATTTTCAGCAACTCGTCGCTCGCAATCGCTTTGAAATCGCATGTGTGCGGGTAAAATAAGTCATGGAAAGACAATGGAAAGACAATGGAAAGACAATG